ACACACAGAGCGACACACAGTGACATAGACACACACAGCGACATACAGACACACAGTAGAGACAGCGCCAAGCCCCAGTCATGAGCTCGCACCCCAACAGCTGCAGGCGTGCTCGTGCTGGGGATGTCAAGAAGAGGGAATAACAGTGACACAGTGCGTCAGTGAAGGGGCTGCTCTTACATGAGACAGGTGCTCCTCCAGCTCCTCCACCTTCTCCAGCGCCACATTCTTGGTCTCCGCATCTTCCAGGAGGCCTCCCACATCAAACACGTTGTCCAGGTAGGCCTGGATCTGCACGGACAGCTTGTCGCTCTCCGTGTGCCTCGATTTCTGGAAGGAAGAGTCCACACGGTCACCCCCTCGAGCACTACATCGCCACCACCGCGCCAGCTGGCCTGCTCCATTCCGTCTTTCCATATCTGGAATTTGTCAGTAGCTCTGGGACTGGGCTCTCCAGCCGCGCCCCCTGTGCTGCTCGGGGGAGAGGTGACCCATGTGGACAGGAAAGGCAGGAGAGAGCGGGGGCCAGCAGGGGGCGCTGCTCTCACAGAGCCCAACCCAGGATGTTTCGTCAATCCCACAAGCCCTTCTTCAAAGAGTTACATGGCATGGCACGCTGGGAGAGGGGACTCACCTCCAGGAAGTCGTCCAGGCCCAGCTTGGTGAACTCGTACTGCAGGTGGACCCTGAAGTTCATGTCCTCCACCGAGTGGACCACAATGTTGATGAACTGCATGCAGGCCACCTGCACAGAAGAGACGGTCACGGAGCCGCTGACACAGCCCACCCCACGGCCCCCCGAACACCAGGAGTCTCCCCTCGACAGAAGCTCTTCCATCTAGGAACCTCAACAGCCCCTCAAGCGCACAGTGGGGATCCTCCGGACTTATCCCGGGAAACCTGCATGTCCATTCAGGATCCTCACATTTCAAAGTGCTGTAGCCGTTACTGCACAAATCATGCAATTCACGGATGATTTAAAGTTTGAAATAGCCAACTGTGGGTGTGTTTTTAGGACATGATCATTTATTGTCCATCCAAAAGGGTGGATATTTGTCTTTGGCATCATCATACAACACTGTAGAAAAACAACCCTCAGCATAAAACAAATACACACTAAAACAACAGGAGTCACAACCACGCAACAGCACACATACAGCATACACGTCTCTCCCTGCCCATATAAAACCACCTGTGTGCCAGGGATTGATGAACTGGCTCTGCACCCAATCAGCCCAATCAATCACCCAAGATGTTCCGAGATGCTCATTTCAATTTATGTGGCTGATGTTTTCATCCCAAGTGACTCTTCCCCAGAGAAGCATTTGACTGGAGCAGAGGGACTGATGTTCCCTGCCCGAGCGTGCTACAGCTTTGCCCACCCAGGATTTGAGCACGTGACCCCTCAGGGACCCACACCACCGTGAGATGGTTTTCTTCCGATCGCGCCTCTGGACATGATTTTGAACACTGGCACCGGCTGTCGCCCTGGAACAAGGTCCCTAAGTTGCACAGGTGTTGTCGGCAGAACATGTTTGCGGCGGCAGCGATACGGAACTGGCGGTATTCTCCTCGGAGGCAGACAGAAGACTTCGGGACCAGGGCTGGGGTTCTGCGGAAACGCTGACGTCACGCATTCGGGCAGGACCTGGGCAGTGCTGCCAGGGCCGTGAGCTCACCATGAAGTCGATGTTGCCTTCCTCACTGCGGAAATACTCCATCAGCTTCTCGAAGCGATGCTTCTCCTTACACACCTGACCGCGAACAGGGAAGAAACGTTGACTGTTTAATGAGTGGCAAGAACAGCACGACTTAAATTCTTTTAAAATGTAGGTACAATAACCATCCGTTTCTGAACATTTGACTTTTTTCCATCCCGCTTCATATACTGAATGGATTCTCTGCCTTATCCCGCACTGCGGTCTACTGTATCAGCTAATCTGTTGTGGCAGGAAATGAGGTGAGGACCGATTTTAGCGATACACAGGCTTCGGTTCACCAGTGGGCTTTAGAGCGCTGTGCAGTCCTAATCTGCTTCAAACACATTATTCCTCCCCGGGTCAGAGAACAAGATAACATTTAAGTGATGTTTTTATTATTAAAAGGAGGTTCTAAAAGAAGAAAAAAACTGCCAGTGTCATGCTTTATAAAAAACACAACACTCCTTGCAAAAATGATGTAGGTCTTTCATCCTCTTCCAGGTGTCCAATTTGTTTTTTGGTTTCTGATTTTTTTGATAGTAATCTGCCCTAGTACTCCAGCTAGTGCTCATTTGTGGAGAAAATTGTTCCCCAATTATGGGAATTCTTGGGAAAGAAACAAAAAACCAAGATTAGAGAGTTTGCCTCCAGCTGCGGTCCCACACGCAGCAAAGTGAGGAGGGGGAATCAACACCAGACTCAGGGTAGGTCCAGAGGTGAGAGACATGTAGGAAGCCCACCTCTCCACTATCGGTAGCTGTTTTATTTTCACTTTTTAATAATTCTGTAACACAGAAGCAACAAGGCTAGACAACACCGCCTTCTCTTCTTGGGAGCCTTTATAAAAAGCTGATCAGATAAATCGGAATACAAATGACCTGACCTTTATTGAGCTGGTGTGCTCTAAAACTCTGCGTTTTAAATCTCTGCGCTGAGCAGATGTGCTTCAACCATGCGACCGACTGGCCAGACTAGAACGCTGCTCTCCAGGCGCCCTCTTAACTTCCACGGTTCTCTAAATTGGCCAGTTCCTGTACTTTGCCAGATCAGCGGGCCTCACTACTGACGCTACATGAAGCGTTTGCTCCGAGCCTCCGGGGAAAGGAAAACAGGCTCATTTACTGAAGCCCCAGAGGGAACCCGGAGATCCTTATCATGAAATCCAGAGCCATTTCCTCGCATCTGGCATTCCTGAAAAGGCACTCGGTCCCAAGACGAATGGCTGTTGCTCCCACCACCATCACACAGAGTTCCCTCCCACTGTGCAGCAGCCAAACCACCCAGCAACTCTCAACCAGCAGGTTGTGGCTGGAAGAGGTGTTAATGGAACCAGTAGGGGGCGCTCACTGCGGTCTGTGTGGGTCCTAATGCCCCATTATAGTGATGGATGAGACGTAAAACCGAGGTCGTGACTCTCTGTGGTCATTAAAAAGCCCAGGGCGTTTTTTGAAAAGAGTAGGGGTGTTACCCTAGCATCCTGGCCAGATTTCCCATTGGCCCTTACCAGTCATGGCCTCCTCATAATCATATTAAAGATATTCTAATCCTCCGAGCTCAAACAGCAGCAGCTCCCAGGGAAGAGACTGCCGGTCTCGTGCAAGGCGGAGTCCGGGACAAAGGTGCTCGGGGCCGGGCGACATGGTTACCTCTTTGAAGTTGTCGAACGCCGACAGGATGATCTCGTGGCCTCCCCTCACCAGGCAGACAGCAGCAAGGAGCTCCAAGACCAGCGCCTTCGTTCTGGAGAAAACGACAGGCCATTAGAACCGGCTTCCACAGTGCCGTCTCCGAGGGTCTGAGCCCACGGCCTTGTGGGAATGAGTCCACCGCTCTCTGCTGCCCCCTGGGACTTGGCGGCAGTACGACACAGAGCTGAGAGGGCTCCTACCGATACTCTACGATGCACTTTGCTTAGGAACAGCGCTTATCTCTGTGCGCATCCCTGCAGAATAATCCCTACTGAAGCCTGATCAGGCAGGAGCCCTGGACTGAAAGTCCACAGGTTCTCTAAATTACCAGCTGCAAAGTGACAAGCTGTCTCCCAAAGCAGAGGGCCAAGACCAGAGGGCAGAGTGTGTGGGACTGGAAACAGGGGGCACCTCTTCACTCAGGGGCAGACCAAGCTCAGTGCATGCGTCTGCAGATTAATCAATCAATTTATTTTTTATATAGCGCCTTTCATAACAAGTTACCCCAAGGTGCTTAACAATGCAAGTAAGCATACATTTTGGGAACAGAACAGAAGACCAGAAGGAGAGGAACCAAAAACTCCTTTGTAAGGAGAAAAATAACCTTTAGGGGTCCAAGGTCAACTGGCTGCCCAACCCCTTAGGGCATGCTAACATTACACCATTAAAAAAAAGGAAATAAATGACTGAGGGTATTAGTCCATCCATCCATCATGTCTTCTGTATGTCAGTACTCCATGCAGATCTCTGTAGACCAGCAAAACACTCCTAAATGACAGCTATATCCACAATGTCCCTCAGATGCAGCTCTAAACTGGGAAACTGTGGGCAGTCTTCAACTTGGAGAATTCAGAGGCCTTTTATTTTCCCAGTGGTGTCTGTTAGCACAAATCACACAGCAGAATCCACTCTGCCCTTACCTGGAGTTCTTGTTGTTCAAGCTGAGGGCAATCTCATTGACAGCGTGTGGGTGTGACATGACCAGGTTAAACCCGTACTGGAGAGAGAGGGGGACAGGACAGTAAGACACACGGCCTCAAGGCAATCTGAGCTACCGAGTTCAGCCACATGGTGAGCTTTTCTTACACACTGGTCACCTGGCACGAGAGCTACAGCTGATCCAAGAGACACTGGCCACACTAATGCCTAATGTCTTTTGCTGTGGATAACTTCCACCTCTCAATGCACAAGCTGCGAATTGGCACTAACTGTGCCACATTATGAAATGTTTTAAGATTAGTTGCAACATACTGTCTTAATTAGGTCAGTATTCTTTAGATCTGTTTCACTTGAGCTGCCTGCTTAACATGTTAACAAGCCAGCAGCAGTATCAGCCTGCAACTCACAAGTGGCAGCCCCACTGAAGCTCAGCAGCTGTGAGCCTGGCCAGTACCTGGATGGGAGACTCCTGGTAGAAGCCAAGGCTGCTGCTGGAAGAGGTGTTAGTGGAGCCAGC